CGTCTTACATATTTTCGCCCAACACTACCGAATAACGATATCTTAGTTTCATCACTCCATATAACTTGTGACCGCTTATCATCTGTCCAATTAATGTGTTCCTTTGCCCACAGTAGTCTTTTTTTTTTTGTTGCTGAAAATTAAGATAAGGCTTTTTTTTTTTTTTTTTTTTTTTTTTTGGAATTCTACCTCTCAGTCCAACATCTGTTAATCCCTTCGAGCCGGGTAGCGAAAACGCGCGCTTATCGCGGAGGCCAGCAGTGTCTTCCACGAGCGTCTCTCCAGGGCCGGGAGCCTAAATCCATGAAATTTCCGAAGTATCAACGCATTGTTTAATAATGCTCTATAGAGTATTTAAACGGCTTATGCTTTATAGATATTTTTATATATATACTTTAATTACCTTATTTCTTGTTTAAATGCATATTTTACACATTTTATTTTAATTACTCACCATTTTATGACTTTTAACATTATACATCTGAAAACCAAATATAGTATTAAAATTCTCTTTTTGTATGAAAAATTTGAAAACACGGATCTACACACAGTCCTACCTTACATTCCTTGCACTCGTAATAACTCATTTGCCGTTTTGGAGGATTTTTCCGGCAATGTGAACGAACGAGCATCGTCGTCTCATTTTCTTATCAGTCTCTTCTGAACAAAGTTTTGGAAAATATCTTTCAGTTAATCTTTCAGAATCAATATCTGAAATATTTTGCATCATTTCTGCTATTTCATGCTCTGTTAAACATTTTCGACACTTCAACATTGAAACGGTAAAAACAGAAAGAATTCATGTCTAACAAGATCTAATTATTTTCTAAAAACTGAACTGCAAACCGAAATACTCAACGCTTTAGCGCATATAAAACTTCTACTTACAATAAACAACTACCATGTGCGAATAAAGTGCGATTTAAAGAGACATAATAAATCACGCCATTCGGAAACATTTAGTTCCCCATTTATTTATATAATCAAAAACACGTGTATGTGAGTCATGCTTCTCTCCTTTCGAGTAGAAGGTCTAATGTACATGTACCTTAAACCATATGGACATACAGTGCAATCTTATGGCAGAAATTATAGTTTGAAAAACGTTCCATGACACTGGCACAAATACGTGACAGTCGGTAGTAGTAAAAAACGGGAAAATGCTCTGTCACGCCTGCGTGTCGGCCAGGAGGTGAGTGTGTTCGTTGCTGGCACGTAGACGTGACAGTCGACGCGAAGGGGTTAAGCTTCTCCTGATAGTTCTTGAACTGACAGAAACACCAGCATGATTCAAATCACTTGTGATGGCCGCTGATGACATTTTTCTATCTTGGAGACATAGTCTTTTTATTCTTCTGTCATCAATAGATGTGGTGCACCTTTTTCGGCCTTTTCCTTCTTTGTCTCCTGATATCGTAAACAAAACTTTCGGACTCCAGATGTAGTCACTGAACCAACCACCTGTCTTGCAATTTCAGCATAGGAAAGACCACTTTCTCGTAACACAATAATATTACATCTCTTTCTAGGTGTCCAATCTACTCTTTTATTTGATGTCATTGCTTCTTGACTAAATATTAAAAATTTTTACTAAAATTCCTACTTGTAATTGCAGTGTATAAGAAACAGGTCCTCCTTCTACAGAACAAAGCAAAATAATGAATTGTTTCAAGTGTAAACATGATGTCAGCTTCTAGTGGCAGTTACTAACACTTGATTGGTTCTCAGAACAAGAACAGTGATTGGCCAGGAAAGCTAGACATTACAAACCAATTCATAACTGTGTTTTTTATTTATATTAAAGTACATATAACTTTTTTTGTATTCCAAATAATTGAATTTTTTCTATTGAATTCAGTAATAAATTCTCTTTAAAATGATATATACAAGTTTGCATTTTGCGAAATGTAGCATTTTCTATAAGCATACAAAGTTCAAAAACATAAAAATTTCCAAAAGTGTCCACAATTTTGGCCACCACTGTATATGCATATTTACCAATCTTATTGATCAGATGGCCAATAAACATAACTGAATCATATCTTTTGCTTTGTTTCTCGTCTGATACAATTCACTGAACTTTGTAGATAATCCTTATGTGCATTGTATTTCAAAAATTATATATTTATTTTTGAGATACTCTTCAAACACCAACCAAAAAATAAACTCTGAAATTCTTGCCTATCTGAAAAATGAGTCACTTCTTATTGAAATTTTTATCTTCTTGTCCCCTATATTTGCAAATTGACTGTTTACCTGATATGAGCTTCATGTTTTAAAAATTGTTTCCAGGCATACACTTTCAGCTGCAAAATATATTTAAAGTAAAGAATTTTATGAAAATAGTTTCAAAAGTGCAAGAAAACTCTATGAAAATTTCATTTTATACTTAATTAAAGGTTTTCAAAGTTTTTAAATGCAAATAATAATAAGGCAAATATGGTGGGCAACTTATTTCATTAAAAATGAAAGGACCAGCTACAAATGTAATAACAAAGGGTGTTCTACCAAAGATGGAACCACACTATCAAAAAAGGCAGCTTTTGCTTGATAACGACTCCATAAGTTTGTAGTTAAAAGTGTGCAGTTTGAGTGTAAGTCAAAACTCATATGGAAGAATGACAAAGACACTAAATTTATTCTGATTTTGTTTTTAATTTATTTGAGCACAAATATTCTACCAAACGGAATGCTTTTAAGAACACTATAAAAAAAGAGATTTTATCTCTACATTACCTTTCCATCTATGAGGCGTATTCGGAAACTAAGTACCGTTTTGAAAAAAAAAAAAAAAAATAGTAAAACAATTTTTTTGAATCCAATTTTATTTTTACATGAAAATACATGTCTTAAACTATTTTTCAACATAGTTTCCGCCAATGATCAAACACTTGTCATAGCGGGTGACCAGTTTTTGTATACCATCGTCAAAGAAACTTCCCGCCAGTTTCGATAACCACGACTCTACAGCATTTTTCGTGTCATTGTCAGATCCAAAGCGCTTGCCACCAAGCTCGTGCTTCATGTGCAGGAACAAGTGATAGTCGGACGGCGCCAAGTCCAGGCTGTAAGGCAGGTGATCGAACTGCTCCCAATGAAACTGTCGAATTAACGATTGAGTGACACCAGCAGTATGGGGCCACACCATTCCTTTACTGAGCATTTCTCTTCGTTTGTTTTGAATGGCACGCCTTAGTTTTGTTAAAGTCTCACAATATCGTGCCGCATTAATGGTTTCACCTCTGGGAAGAAATTCAGTAAGCAAAATGCCTTTCCTATCCCAGAAGACAGTGCACATGATTTTTGATGACATTGTCACTTTGAACTTTTGTTTTTTTGGAGAATGAGTGTGTCTCCACTCCATCGATTGTTGTTTCGATTCTGGTGTGAAATGACACACCCAAGTTTCATCATTTGTCACAATTTGGTTTAAAAAGTTTTCTCCCTCATCACTGTACCGCGTGAGAAATGTCAGGGCTCTACCAAGTCGCTTTGTTTTGTGAACATCAGTGAGCATTTTTGGAACCCATAGGGAACACAGTTTGCGATAATTCAAGCGGTCAGACACAATTTCGAACAAAACAGTACGTGAAATTTGTGGAAATCTCTCTGAAAGAGTTGTCATTGTGAAGCGTCTGTTCTCATGAATTGCTTCATCAACTTTCCTTACCAAATCATCGATGACAACAGAAGGCCGACCACTCCGAGCCTCAGCGTGGACATTTGTTTGACCTGCATTAAACATTCTTACCCACTTTCTCACCATTCCATCACTTATCGCGTATTCACCGTAAACTTCTGTCGCTCGACGATAAATTTCGGCCGGTTTAACATTCCTCGCGTTCAAAAATTTAATCACAGCACGAATCTCACAGTCAGCAGGAGAACTAATTGTCTTAAACATTTTGAATGTGCACAGCAAACTGAAAACACAACATAGAGCAACCAAAATGGCGACAATTGAAAGTCAGTGAACAAGAAAGTCTAGTGCGCATGTGCAGGACGCCTACCACAGCACTGAAACGGTACTTAGTTTCCGAATACGCTACGTATAAAATGCTCTACCCGATTTCAGAAATTTAAAAAAAAAAAGTAAGAATCTAATTGAAAACCATGTGTGTAGAAAATCTATAGCATGTTTTGAACATTATACTGCTTACGCACACTTACCTTAGCATAATAAAAATTCCTATTTTCCATAAATCTCCATTCAACTTTTTTAAAGGTTTGCTGTATTTTAACTCATATGGAAGTATGGTGTATTTTAACTCAAGCAAAAATTTTATTTTATAATGTGCAAATAAACAGAAGAATATCCTCGTTAATTCTCATAATTTTAATTCACACATTAGCTCTCTTTCAGAGCTACAGTTTCAAGGTACACAATTTCAAAAATTCAAACAGAGGTTTACTGGTCTGGTCTTTGGAGTAATTCCATATTCATTAAGGTTCTCGAATATCAGAATTTTTCCTCCAGCATGATTGAGAATGCCTTGGAATATCACACACTAACATGAACGAAATTCAAAATGCTTTAATAATATCAACTGTCTACTACATTTAAAATAAAAAGCATAAGAAGAGGCTTCAGCAGCATGTAACTAATAATCCCAATGGTAATTTTTTATGCTGAAAATAACGCATGAAACAGCGAAGATATCATGAATAAGAAAACAGTGAAAAGTAGCATTTTAAATATAATTTGAAAGAAATGCTCATATCAAATACATTTTAATTTAATATGAACTTACAACAATTTACAAACATTTACTCAATGTTTTCCAGAATTCTTCTGAGTGTTTTGTTTAACTAATGCAGATACTATGTATGATAAATGACAATTAATTATTAGAATTTAAGTTATAAAATTTAGTTTATGAAATGTTTAGTTAACATTAACTAAACACTTTACACACTCAAAATTTCTTTTTTTGTTTCCCTAAGTAACATTTTTTTTTAATTATGAATTCTTTCCCAATTTTTAATTATTTATTCTATACCTGTCATATATTTCTTGAAATATGTCCTTGAAACGTCCATCATACTTTTTCAAAATTGTGTTCTTTGTACTACAAAAGAAAAAAACATTTACTATTAGAAATTTTCAGTGAACTGAAAAAAGAAAACAAAATGCAATATTTTTACTTAAAAGATAATAAATACTATTTTAATAGTTAATTTTAGTCATTGTTTAATAATATACTACAGCAGTGAAAAAATTGTCCTTTTTTTGAAAAATACCCCACTACATTTTTGCTTAATAACAAATTATTATGTTTATATACAAAAATATCTTAAATATGGCAATAGCTTCTGAGATTGTGAAATTATACCAAATATGTAAATGCCTCCAACATAAAATACCATGAGTACATTATAGCAGGGGGTATTACGTTTCTCATTCCAATGGAATTTTATACATAATAAATTATTATGAGTAGCATACTAAATCTGCAAAATTGAGAGTTTTGAGTTCTGTTAATAACCAGGGATAAGGGATACAGATGAAGTACAGAACAATAAATAAGGAGATATTTTGGCCTTTTGCCAAAGTATGAATACATCTGCTTTCAGATTAAAGAACCCATACTCGCTTCTCAGGCATATTGCTTTAAAACAAAAATTTATTGTACAAAAATAACATTTTAACATAACAAAAAATAAATGCATGAGTGCATATGCTAATAAACATAAAGGCCCTGCTACCAGAAGTGCCATATTTCTTTGTGTATTTTCCCCATCAGCTTCTTAGCACTAAATTCTGAAAATTTCATATAATTTCCCTCTTCCTCGACAGCTTTTTTCTCTGAGAGTTTTAGTTTATGGGTAAACTTTATTCCCTTGATTATTTTTATTCAATGTATTCAATTTGCGTTTGCTTTTTTTTTGGGGGGGGGTGTATTAGCATTTCACACATTTTATTTTCCAATGCATTCATTGCTTGAAGCATATTTTGTGCAGATTCTTCATTAAGTGACCCAGGTGTGACACTTCAGAGATCTTTCAAACATGTGATTTCACCTTACTTCTGTTATTTACATTCCAGCTTAATGTAGCCTTATCTATGGCTGATGTGTTCGAAATCCAAGTCTTGTTTACCTTCCTTTTCTTTCATTCCTCCACTATCCCTCTTGGGAACTGTGATCAATACTCATTTATGTGAGGTGTCCCTAGAACTCAGTTACTGTCAGACATTGTAATGTTAATATTACTATGTATTCTTAGTAAGGTGTAAATTTTATTTTGGAAAAATAATATTGTTTTAGTTATCCACAAATAATTTATCTGTGACTACTTTTCATTTGTTATGCTTTTTGGAAATTAAATTACTCACATAATCTTTACCTCTAAATTTTACGATGATAAAATTAGTTAAAAAAAGGGGAGAATACACAAGAAAATATGGTATATCCTTACAGCTACAATCAATAAAAACTACTTAATGATCAACTTGTAGCTCGTGTCTGCTTTATAGAATTCCTGTACATTGTTTATACTAAAAACTTTGTTAAAGAATAAAAATCATAGATTCAAAAAGAAAATTTATTTTTATTTATTTTTAAATTTTTTTATTTATTTATTTTTTTACATAATATTACATCTGTTGTTAACTACTGGACTCTCCATTATTCTGTCAGTTTTCCTTCTGCAAGACTTAATACACAACTATAAATGAATTATTTTTTCCACATTCTTGTATTTCAATTAAAATGCATCAGTTTAATTAATATAGCAGACAAGCATTTTTTAAGAAATCTCCAATTTATGATATACACAGTTATATCAATGCAAAGTTTAAGGCTCTTATTAATGGTATTTTCAAATTCTGAGTTTATGAATGTTTTAGTGGTACTTAAAAGTAAATCAAAAATCATAAAATCAAAAGCCTCACTTCACTTTCTAATTCAATCTTTACATTTCAAGAACTTTTAAAAAACGGACCACATGATCCCCCCCCCATTCACGCGATATCAAATATCGTTTGCATAATTCTACAGAGCATTATGTTCACAGAGATAATTTTCTTCCCTGATGATGTAGCTGATGAAGAAGTTATACCGTTCCCCACTAAGTTCTTCCTTACTCATATAATAGTAATCAAAAGCAAAGTAACCAAAACTGTAACTATCAGATATTTTAATTTCTTCTTAGGCAAAAAAAAAAAAAAAAAAAAAAAGCTTAGTATGATAAAACAAATAAAAGCTGCTTGTACTAGATGGAATGCATTTACAGCTGATTTTGTAAGAGAAAAAGAATACCTGCCTGTTTCATGTTACAGATGAGTAAAATCATATAAACATTTACAAAAATAGACTGTAACAATGAATATGATGCATAATTTTATGTTAAATTATTGCTTATATGCGAGTTACTCCTAATTCAAATAAAAAATTTCCATTATCATCAGCACTAATTAAGAAAACAAACAGACCTTAAGTACATTAAAACAAAAGTTTTACCTCAAGTATAAAGGATAATTAGCTTGCAGAGCATACTGGAAAGAACTATGTGCAAAATCTGTAATAGACTACAATGGGAAAAATCAAATAATGAAAAGAGTAGTAGAAATCTAAAATACAATACTACATATACAGCAACACTTGATATTAAAAGCAAGTTTTATCGCATAATTTCAAGTCACTTTCTAACAGCCTAAAATGCCACTGAACAGAAAACATGCAGATTACTTTTTTTCAAGTATTTAACTATTCTGTTTAGTAATATTCAGTTTCATTAAAAAAAAAAAAAAAAAAAAAAAGGTGTATTAAAGTATATCAGAATTTGTGGTATAGCCTGGAATAAATAATACAGCTAATATACAACAATCTTAGAATAAAAATATTAAAAATGCACAAGGTTTTATTAAATAAGAAAATTAAATGAACTAACATAAAAATAAAAATCCCAGAGCAACTGTGATATCTTTTGCATACTAAATACATTGATGTCCAAAATTATCTTTGGATACATAAAAATTATCATATTTCATGATGTTAATCTTTTCACATAACATGCAAAAGAAAAATCTAACTGTCATTATACAGTTTGACGAATTCCTGCAATTCAGTATTTGACTTCAGAGTACATTCACTCAAAACAGTATGAGGCTCAAAGTTACATTTGAGGAAATCTTTGAAATGGGGAATTATCGGAATAAAAGCAGAGAAGACAACTACAGAAGTGACAAGATGGTTGAATATCTCAAAACAGAGATCTATTCCCTCAGGAAACAATTTAAGGGCTCTAAAACAATGGTTATGAACTAGAACCAGGCTGCAAGGAGGATAGGGAAATGCTTCTTAAGATCTATTTTTCCCTGTAACGGCTCATTGCAACAGAGAAAAAGACAACTAGGTAGCTGACTAAATGTATGAACTCAGTGGCGTAGCTAGGGGGGACATCTTCCCCCGGGTGCAGCATTCAGAGGATGCCAAATTTAAGTTATGCAATTTTACAGTGAAATGTTTCCCATTCTTAGCACACATAAAGTGGCACAAAATCTTAAATTGTCCCCGGGTGCTGAAAACCATAGCTACGCCTCTATATGCATCCACCACTACAGTTGCAGATACAGAAAACTTACTGAGAAAGGTTTTCATGTCTAATAGCCAATATGTATTGTTATGAATTTTGTATATAAATAGATAATTTTAGTGAAATCATACATGACATTGTTGTATTTTTCTGTATAATGTAATATGAAAGCTGGCAGAAATTATGCTCTGCCAGAAAAATAAAAATATAGAGGCAAGTCTATTTCACATTGAGTAAATGGCGCTATCTCACTTAATAGGCGAGATACTGCCAAGCTAGTATCGTTTCTGGAACTAATTTTTGTTGATAAATTGGGTGAGAAATCACCAAAAATTCTGAAACTTGGAGACTATTTGATCCAGTCCATGTATCTCTGTAATATGTATTGTAATTGAATAAGTGTATCAGTATACTAGCTGTAACCATATCTAGGTCTTCCAGTGGTTATTCAAACACAGTCTTTGTGAAGAACATCTCTCTTTTAAAAAATTAATATAGCTACTTCTTTATCTCTTGGCAAATCCTAAGGCATGAAATCCACAGCAGTTAAATTATAATTAGATTAAAAACGTTTGTGGTGAGTGATGTTCATATGACATTATATCAGGAAAGAAGCTAAATCAAACTCGTGATACAGATGAAATATGCCAAAACAAAAGAAGTCTCAAACAATATGGCTTCAGCAAAGTACTGATCTGCCATTTCTTAATATATCAGTTTTGAAAAAAATTGTTTATGTTTGCAAAAAAATTACACAGGCATGTGAAAAAAATCCCACAGCCCCATTATTAAATCACTGGAAATCAAACTTATAATGAACTAGATGTCAATACAGTACAAGCCTGAGATCCAGAATCTTCAGGACTTCTGGATTTTAGACCACTGGTTTAAAGGTAATAAGATGACATGTAGAAATTATACAAAAGTATTTTTTATTAATATGCTTATATAAGAAACAGATACTTTGTATAAAGAAAGTGTTTTTTTTTTTTTTTTTTTTTTTTTTTTTTTTTATTGTTTGTTGTTGTTTAATTACTATCACTTGAAGAAAATGTAACTTGAAGCTGAAATGGGAACATTTTCTGGTTTAAAGCCATACTACCAATATTTGCTATTTCATTAATTAATTGAAGACTGACACAACACAAGACTTCAATTGTATCATCTCCATTTAACATTTCTTTTCATATTCCATTAATCAGAAAATTGCGCTTTTCTTGTAATATCTGAAAATCCTCATATTCATGCCCCTCATTGTCATTGTGAAATCTGGTTGCTGGCTCTAAATTAGGTCAAACATTTTAAAAAATACCTGCAGACATGTCCTCTTATGATCTTGGAATGCACCACACATCAGATTTTATATTAAAATATTTCTAGAATTTTGGGATGCTTCACTTCTGCACAAACTACTTTACATCTGCATTTCAATGCATGTAAATTCTAATATCAATTGGCTGACTGATAGATGTACAGTTTTGGAGAAAGAGTAAAACTGAGATGTTATCTTTTACCCAAAGTATAGTTTTTATAAGATTAATAACAGGGTTTTCACACTACCTGGAAAACTCAGAGAATTTGAATATTTTAGTCAAAATCTCAAAAAGTCATACTGCGATCCTCAAAAAAGCAATTTCTTCACCAGTGTCGGAAGCGATCACTTTCTCAGCAAATCATGTATCGTGTGAGGGTCATTCAGACAGCTGGCATAGAGACAATTTTCGCAGTGCCAATCAGATTGTCTTTTAGAAAGGCAAAACAAGCTTCTGGCATCTTTGGTTTCTAGTAACCTCAAGAATCCAGAAATTCACATGTACAGGGCATGTTGAACGAAAGTAAATTCCCCCCATTCTCGTATAAAACAAAATCTTTTAAACCTTTTCTTCTTTCTCAAATGCTTTATTTTTCATTTTGCAGTAAAATAATAATAATAATTAGTCATCTAGGCTAACCATTTAATGAGTCTATATTCGCGAAAATATCGTCGATTTTTGTAATTCAGTTTTTAATTAAGCAATTAACTTTATTTTAATGTTATTCGTATCATTTAATGTGTCTTCTTCCTTCTAAATTTATTTACTATTAGTTAATAATACTTTTAAATTTCAGGCAATTTTCTGTGGCATACTTGTGAAACTAATTCTAGCAGTAGTATGACATACCATCACGAAATTTAATGCACATACTTTTTACTTATGTATCATGTTAAATAAATATAAAATTTATTTATAAATATCATTAAATAGATTTCTTTCTTTTTTAACTGCAAAATGTCTATGCAGAAAAGGCATTTTAAAATCCGAATAGGGCAGATTCTAATCTCAATTCTCAGTGGAGAAAACAACTCCTATTACAGTTACAAAAATAATGTTTTGGGAATAAGTTACATAATAGATCAATAGATAAAGTCATATGTAATTGAAAATTTTTTTTGTTTTCAAGTGGTACCATAATTATTTACCCTCAGCACAGCCAACGCACGCTATGCGCATAGTCTGGAATTTTCTTGAAACACACCTGGGAAAAGTCAGGGAATTTCATTCTCCTGTTTGGTTAGCAATCCTGAATAATAATACACAGAACAAAATAATAAGCTGATTCATATCAAAAAGTTAAGATAAAAGTGCAATTTGCTATGTTAACTGAAGTTCCTAGAAATCTAATTCTTTCTCCCTCCCTTCTGCTACGTCAAAGAAAACCAGTATAAGTGACATCCTACTCAATAAATATGTCTTGGGGTTTTATTTGTTATTTAACTCAGATAGAAAAATGCTGCCCTTCCAAACCACTCAAGGGTTGAAAGTGGGGTCATGGTTAATGTCATTCAATGTCCTTGGCCCACAGTGTGATTTCTAGATAGCAGACATTTGAAAGTGACATATAGGAATCTCAGTTAGTCAGGAGAAAACTGCTTTTATAGCACATCAGTTTTTTTCTCAACTATTAAATCTTCCAGGCCTAAACTTTGTAATGAGAAAAAAATTATTAAAAAAATGGTCTGGAGGCCACTTCATACTATACTGAGAATCTAAAAAGTTTAAAAAATGAATAGGAATGAGAAATTTATAGACAAGAAAATAAAATCTTGGAATTATTAGAATTAATACCAATATTTATTTAAATTATGAAATATATATTTATTATCAATTTCTTTTACTAAGTAAAACACGTTTCAGCATAGATCACAAACTATTAAAGAAAAAAATCATAATTTTGATACTGCTTAATTTTATGAACATTCACTTACCTTATCAGTGTTGTACATGGAAAGAGATACTCCACCACCATCTTTGAAATCAAATACTGTGTAACTAACAGGAGCCGATCCATCAATAGGAGTGTATTTTACTTCTACCTTACCAGGACCAGGTACAACAAAATCTGTTGCACGATACTGTAAGAAATAAAACTATCAACATAAATTTTCAAAAACAAAGACTGAAAAACTTCCACAAAGTTTCTAAAAAGTTTATTTAGTTAAGATAAGGGGTGGAAAAATTTGCTTTTAATATAAATTTGCTTTTAAGATAAATATTTGCTTTTAATTTAAAATAAAATTACAATATTTAATTAAAAAAAACTATGTATATATGTATATATATTATGTATGTATATGTGTGTAATGAAAAGAGGAAAAGATGTAGCAAATGTTGATGGCGTAGCACGTAGATGGCAGATCGTCCATCCATACTGAAGAGGAAGTATTTTGCTTGCATAGAATACTAATCCATAATAAATAGTTTAATTGAAACTCTAATTGTGCCTATTTTCCAGAACATTAACATTTTTTAACACTGCTGCAATAGGAAAAGATGACGGAAATTGCATCCAAGCAGAACAGTCGGTCAAGCTAAAAGTGTGCATTTATCCAATATGGAAGATCGTCCAGAGAAAGTTTTAGTTTAGAAAAGTTTCGGTTCTCAGCGTCTAGGTTCTGAATTACCCACGCGATCAGTGTTGTGCAGGCCATACAAGACGGACTGATTTAGAAATTACACAATTCAGAGAAGTTATTACAAATTTTAGAATAGAGAGGGAGAATTAAGAGGTTAATTTTGATTTACATATTTTCTGTCTTACATATATATAAAAGATATTTACAAAGAAATTTTTTAAATGTTTACGTACATGCACATCTCAAATGGAATAAATTTGAACTGTAACAAAGGATATAGAATATTAAAAGAAAGTCTCAGAAAATACCTGATCACCATATGCATGACGGCCAATAATAATAGGTTTTGTCCAACCAGATACGAGACGAGGAATATTTTTACAAATGATGGCTTCTCTAAAAACGGTACCTCCAAGAATATTTCGAATAGTACCATTTGGGGATTTCCACATTTGTTTCAAATTAAATTCTGAAATAAGAAAAATTGAACAATTTTTACATTTCTTTAAGTTCAAAAATATAAGCATTTGATTTTTTTATTAAATTTTATCAAGAATGATAAAATTTTTGATCACACAGAATACTGCAGAACTGCTTTTAAATATAAGCAAAAAAATTAACATCTGAACTATTCAATTATACTGCATATTAATCCATCTGAAATGCAGATTTTTGACTTAAATGCATGTGTAATCTTTCAGTGCACAATTTCTTTAACAATAATATTCTGAATTTATTATAAAGAAGTTTTTTAGAGATGTATACAATCATACTGATACACTGGTAATTTATTAATGACAAGAGACAAAAATCAATGCAGCAAATTATTCTTTTTTACAGATTTGGTCAACAAACTTTCCAAAAAGAACACTTCAACAAAAATTTTAGTATGTAATATTAAAAAATGAACATCTTTATAAGATAATTATTTGCAAACTTAGACAACTTACAATATATCTGGCTGTAATGAAAGTTTTCTGCCAAAAACTTTCTTAATAAAGTTAGAGGAAAAAACACGAAAGGAGTACCTTTAGTGCAGGTAGCAATCATCACCTAAATCTATGATTTTCTGCCAATGCTATGGTAGTTTTTCAGAGCCATTGGCCCAGAAACTTAGTAACTGCAAGTCCAAAAATAAATCAACCTAATTTTGGATATACTGTGCAGAATGGAAGATAGCACCAGCAAGATTTAGCTGCAGGTGTGAAAAAAGGTGGAAGTCTGAAGAAGAGAAGTCAGGGCTATATGGTGGGTGTGGCATAGGATCCCATTCGAGTGCGTACAGAGTCCAGCCGGTGAATGCAGACATATGTGGTCTTGCATTATCTCAATGGAACATTACATTTTTGCCCCGGAACTCAGTTCAATGTTTTTCCTTCAGAGCAGCATCAACATGGACTAGCAACTCGCTGTGCACCTTACTGTCGAGGTTTTTTTTTTCCCAGTTACTCTTTGTGGTTAATACCACGGCAACCCCACCATATACACAGCATGATCTTTTTGGTAGTCACATTACTCTTCGCGACACCACCGAAGGGCTCTGGGCGCAGACAATCCCCTTTTCGGCCTGTGTTGTTGAAGTATATCCATTTTTTTATCACAAGTGATAATCCAGTCCGGAATTTTGTCCTTGCACTGATATTCAAGCAGATTAGTGCAGGCCCGAACACGTCTGCCCTCATCTGCTTGAGTCAGCTCATGCAGCACACAGTGACTGAACTTGTACGTCAATTTTATGTGATGCATAACGCGACTTATGGACATGGCACTAATGTCTAACTCCTTACCAAGCTCCCAAGTGATTGCATACTGATCTTCTTCCACAAGTTTTCCCATGTTGATGAATATTCTATTCTTGAATGTCATAGTCCTTGTTTTAACTTTCGGTACCAAACCTTCACAGCGTCATAGGCTACAACATTAGTACCTAAAGCTATACACATGATTTGGTGATATTCTGTAGCTGACTTTTTGCTACAGAACAGGAAGTAAATGATGTTTCTAGTCTGGTAGTATGATAGTTCCATTTCAGACATCTTGTACTAATGATAATATTTTTTTTTTCTTTTTTTAATTTCACAACACAGTGTTCTAAAGCAAGTCTCTTTCTTTCAGATACCAAAAATGGTTTGACAAAATATGATTAAGCATGCATAAAACAGTTAATAAAATATGATTATTATTAACTCATTGCACAGGTATATTATTTATATTTGAGGTGGTGGGATAAACTTTTGTTAAAACCTGATAATAAAGAAGTACAAAACAATATTAATAAGAGACATTTCCTCATAAAAAATAGAGAAAATCAAACCTGAGATAATAAAAATGATACAACTGAAACAAATTACTATATGAATTTTTTATATCATCATTTATTAAAAAAGAACTTACAAGAGAAAGTGCAGTCAGATTCTTACCTACAACACGATTTTCATCAGGAGTAATTGTGGCACACTTGACACCAACATTATATTTCTTGATAGCATTGGCACAATCAATAGTCACTTGAAATAAAAGATACATTAAATGATTCACTCTGATTCACAAGTCACACTATCATCACCTGATAAATTTACAAATTTTAAATTGAAAAAAGTATCAAAATCACATTTTACTGAAAATCTCACCTAAGCAAAATGAACAATTAACCTTTTCCTTAGGGCTATTCATATATGTCCCACCCATTCACTACATTAAATAAAACTAAACATGGAGCTGGAAATTTGCGGATCTTTATTGATTTATTTTTCGGTTCCCAAATAGTTAACTGAATGGTTTCAATAAATAAAAAAAATAATAATCTCTTTAAGCCCACATGAAAAGGTTACATTCCAAAATTTTGTTTGATATTCATGTTCACTATAACAAAAATGGTGAATTCAAAAAACCATCTAACACAATACAATCCCATAACTGAAATTTTGCAGATTATGCATGTATATATTTAACAAGCATTAACATATTTATTTAATATAAATATATAATTTAGGTTAAAATAACATCCTAAACAATGATTAATTTAGAGGTCAAACAACAAAAATCAGCATTATGATCATTTGTACTTTGGCAGCTGAGGAAAATGGTTCAGTAGTAAAATCATCAAAACTAGTCCTGGAAAATTTGCAAATATAATACTGATTTTTGTTGTTTGACTTCTAAATTAATAAATACAGTACAAAGGCCATAATGCAGACTCGTTGGGACTTCGATGATTCCGTATTATAGATCATCACTTTAAATCTAGTAAGATGGCATGCAGAAATTATATAATTAAAAATATGAAACCGTAATTTATGAAATAAAGAGCAATTATGATCTAAAGGGTATCAAAATTTACCAAAAAAAAAAAAAAAAAAAAAAAGCTTAATATTTATTTGTTTACTTTGTTAAACATTTCTTTCAATGTAAGTTGTTTAAGTTGCTCTTTTTTTTTTGTGCTAATACTTTCTTTTTAATTCTATAACAGACATAATTTCTTTTTCAGTTATAAAGTTCCACCTATCGGAAGCGGTATTTTCTGGATACTACAGATTTTGCTGTTCGTTAATTGATTGATGATTGGGGCATTGTTGTCGCAATAAAAAACTTCTGTTATATCATCTCCATTTATTAACACTTCTCCCCATTTCTTTACAAATTCCAGTAACTGGAAAATTTCACATTTAGTTTGCGATGTTTAAAAATCTTCAAATTCCCAGTTAAGGTATGAAACCATGAAATATGGTAGCTGGCCATAAATTTAATAATTTTGATTTATTTTTTTAATGTATCTGGAGACACATCCTCCCAATGCACATACGCATGCTTAAACGTGCATGTGTAAATGCATTAAATCACAATGGACGTCCGGATTACGGACTTTATACTGTATATAAATTTTATTTACTCAGGATATATATACAGTCAAAAGTCATTAATTCGGACACCCATAATCGGGAATGATCTATAATCCAAAGCTAAAAACTTTCTGCACATGCGCCGCGTTGACGCATGCGCACAGGCGTTTAAGCGTGAGCATAAGACCTTTACGACTGCACATTTGCATGTGCACAAGCGCAGAATACGTTTTCGCTGCGCGTTTAATGTATAACGGACGGTATAAGCTAAAATTATCTAATTGTCTATTTCAGTTAATGATGATTGCATTGTTCCTTAATTTTCGAATTGGATCCGGCTTATTATTTTTTGCAGACTGTAAGAGCAATTTTATAAAAGTAAGCTTGAACTTTCGATTATGTCAAATAGAATTTCCGATGCTGGAGCTCCCAAAAGATCAACAAAAACGAAAGTATGTTTCGATGTCCATCAAACAAAAAGTGGAATTGCTCCAAAAAATGGATAAAGGCATATCCTTTGTTTATCTAACCGTTCCGAAATCTGTTTATCAATTTTACGCTGCTAATGTAGTATTTCATCTCGATCTACTTCGTCTTTGATATGATTTAAATCAAATTCCTCGTCATTATAAATATCACGAATACAAATCAAATAGTTTTCTGGTTGCAATTTTCTAATTTCGGCTATGCATAATGTATGCTTTACGCATGCGCGCGTTGAAAGAAATGTTTAATAAAGTAAACAAATAAATATTAAGCTTTTTTTTGTAAATTTTGATATCCTTTAGATCATAATTGCTCATTATTTTATAAATTACGGTTTCATATTAATTTTATAATTTCTGCATGCCATCTTACCAGATTTAAACTGATGATATATAATCTGGAAAAATCAATAATCCGGAATCACCGAAGTCCCGACGAGTCCGGATTAAAGACTTTTGACTGTATATATATATATATGTGTGTGTGTGTGTGTGTTATTATATTAAAAATAAAAGCAAATAATAGAAGAGCTTTCACACAGTGCTTTGAACACATTTTCAACATCCTCACTCATAATTATTTCTAAGCATCATCGCAGAAATCTCTGGAACACGTACACAAATACTGCATAATATCCACTGACATCAATAGACTGTCATTAAACTACAATCCTATATGTACAGAAAAAAAAGGTGGCTGATTATCTGATTTACTGTCTCTTACACATTGTTTGTATTTTGGCACTTGGTAATCAATAGAATAATCATCTACATACCTAAATGAAAAAAAGATGTTACTAAAATTGGCTTAGTGATTTAATTCCTTTAACACTGATTTTAGACAAAATTTCCTAAAAAAAAAGCAGAGAATTTTATGAAAACAGTTTCAAATTATGGTTGGGACTGTTAACATGCAATCTTTTATTAGTTTTTTTGTTCACCAAAAATTCGAAGTAGTAAAATATTCATTGCGCTTTATTAAGATTGGGAAAAAATTTCCCATACCTTTTCATGAAAAATTTGCTGATATTCAAGAGTGAAATTAGGGGGGGGGCAAATGCATAGACAATAATTGCTGTAATGCTTTCATTTTAGATAATACAGCATTCATTATTAAACTTGTAGTTGACATTATCTGCTATTAGTTACAGTCTTGAGTCAATGATTGATGATAATAATGATCTACAAAAAATTTATTTAATTATTAATACGTATTCAGTTTTGAACTAAATCATGGTAAATAAAGCCTATTTAATAAAACATGCAACTTAATATAATTTTATCAGACAGAGGATTAAAAAAAACTACAAACATATGCAGATTATACACCACATTAACACAACTGTATTGATTAATTTTATCAGCTAGTTAACTGAATGTAACTAGTACATTATAGTATTAACTATACTCGTTATATGAACAGAAAACTGCGTGAAATCCTCTAAAACTTTCATCTCATATTTGTATGAGTAGAGACTGATCACATTGCAGGATATATTGCCACTAAAGAATCAAGCATTATGGCATACACTGCCACTCAGCAAGAGATCAATAAACTGAAGTTTAAAAGATTTTTTACCTTTAAAGGAAATAAAACTTTGAAAATGAAATTTTTTATACATGTTTCTTTAAAAATTTAACTAATAAAATTTCTTAAAAATATGTGATCTTTTTGTTTTGGGATTAGACTTCTTACACAGAAAATATACTAATCAGGAATGTCATCTCTGGAAGAAATTAGTCTATATATTATGAATTTTACTTTAAAATTTCAAAAATCTGACTTCTTGAAGGGAAAAAAAAAGCAATTATATGGTAATTTCTTGCTTGAATTTTACTTTACCAAATAAAAAAATGTATATTTGACATAACAATTAATAAATTGCAAATTATCATAAGTTAATTATAATAATTTGCAATTTATCAATATGAATACATAAACAGAAGATACAAATAATTCATTTTTACAGTGGTGATTTTGATGAAATTATACATACCAGTTAATCTTCAAAATATCTAAAAAGTTTCAAGAAAATGTTAGGTAAGGGAAAATGCATTAATTTAGGAAGTGTTATAAAAAATGATACATTTTAATTTGTTTTGTGTGCTGTGTTAACCATGAGCCCAATTATTATCAGCCAGCAGGGTTTCAGCACACTCGCATATTACATTATATTACGGCATCCATATTAACTACTTATTCATATTATAACTGTAAATAACATTTAAAATTATAATTATTTCAACAATGCAATAATTCAAGTAAGGATGTATAATCTTCCATCCATAACAGATGCATACTTAATACAACAAAAAAAAATTACACACTTTATCATAAAACAATTATATTTCATTTTTTATTAGCTATAAAAGTACCATAAAAATAGTATTATCAATATGAAGTTAAAAAACAAATAATGAAGCCAAATAATGAAGAAAAATAATGAAAGCCAAATAATGAAGAAAAATAATGAAGGCCAAATAATGAAGAAAACTAAATATTTTTCATAAAATTAGCCAAAACAAGTTTAAAGACCTTTTTTATTTTATAATATGAATGAGTTTACTTTCTATTCCTGTAACTTGAATGTACCTGTATTTGTATTACTTGTAACAAATGTGAAACAGATTTAGGACAACATTCAAGCATTATTCAAAAATATATACTTATGTTCAAAATAAAGAGAATAAACATGCTTTTTTTGAATTTCTTATGCTGGAAAGGAAGTAGTCAAATAATAATGTAATACTGCTGATATCAAATATATAAATACACTTGCAGGTCTATTAGGTGATACGACAGTGGTAAATATAAAAAGCTGTCATTTGTTGTTCTGTTCTTATTTTATCTTATTATATTCTTTTCCATTCTTATTGATACATATCAGTGACAGTCATGCATTTAGAGGACAAACATTTTATGAACAGTGTGTAAATTGTGTAACCATGAACATTGAGGTAATGGAATGCAGTACAGAATCATTGGCAAATTCGGAGACAATGGAATCCCAAGTTCAGGTTACAAGAAAGTTCGGGTATATTTTGCAATTTATGAAACAATTTTAGGAGACTGAATTCATAGCCAGAATGCCTCGGCAAGAGCATCTAGAGGTTATCACACCCACAGAAGATCAATATTTGGCACTCTCAGCTATTTTCAAAAGAAATTTCTACAACCACACT